GCAGCAGTGCTGCGTCCAGCCTTCCACACAGTTTCAAACAGTGACTTACAGGCCCAGAGAGAAGATTGTCAGCGGCTCCCCGGTGAGGAACAGAGGACACTCGTGAGCCAAATCTGAGAGATTTGGGGGCATCAGTTTTGCCGACACACTGGGCAACTGGGCAAAGGTTTGAAAAAAAACAAAGGCAAAGTGGTCTTTTGAAGAAACTCTGCGGCTGTCCCCCCAAGAAATTATTGTGCTGGGGTCCATTGTCAGATCCCAAATGAGCCCCACATTTTGTGGCAGCATGATCTTAAGAGACAAAGACATCAAGAAATAAATTTTGGAGGAGTGTATTCACACCAGTTGGAGGGCTGTACCCCTAGATAAGAGCAGCAGCCTCCAGACTTTCTGGGTCACACCTGGCGATGCACAGGGGTTACTCCTGGCTCAGTGCAGAAGTTACTCCTGGCGGTGCTCAGGGGACCATATGGAATGCTGGGGATCGAACCCGGGTTGGCTGCGTGCAAGGCAAACGCCCTACCCGCTGTGCTATCGCTCCAGCCCCAAGCAGACTTTGGATGAGGTAAAACTGCATCTTGGTGCACCTGTGATTTTCTTAAGTACCAACAAAATTAGTTTAACTCACAGGGCCAGTGTCCTGGCACCCAGTAAATATATATATAAGAATAGTGACGCACGGGCTGGAGTGATAGCACAGAGGGTAGGGCGTTTGCCTTGCACGCGACCGACCCGGGTTTGATTCCCAGCATCCCATATGGTCCCCTGAGCACCGCCAGGAGTAACTCCTGAGTGCATGAACCAGGAGTAATCCCTGTGCATCGCTGGGTGTGACCCAAAAAAGCCAAAAAAAAAGAATAGTGACACAGGGGCTGGAGCAGTACCACAGTGGGTAGGGTGTTTGCCTAGCACGCGACCGACTCAGGTTCAATTCCCAGCCTTTGTATTTTACTTGTTTTATTATTGTATTTTTGGGGGCCACAGCTGGCAGATGCTCAGGGCTTATTCTTGAGTTTTAGTTCAGGCAAGGTTCCTGGCAGTGCTGGGATGGGGAAACTATGTGCTCTTGCATATTGTTTTTGTTTTGTTTTTTGCTTTTTGGGTCACAGCCGGCGATGCACAGGGGTTCCTCCTGGCTCTGCACTCAGGAGTTACTCCTGGCGATGCTCCGGGGACCCTATGGGATGCTGGGAATCGAACCCGGGTTGGCCGCGTGCAAGGCAGACGCCCTACCCGCTGTGCTATCGCTCCAGCCCCCTGCTCTTGCGTATTGACACCTACTTCGCTCCTTCAACGCAAAGCACCCTCTCCGCTTACTATCTCTGCTGACTCCACGATTTTGTTGTTCCTCAGAAAACGAATTTCTGCCTCGCCTGTCAAGTTTCAGAGTATCCCCCTGTTTTCGACTTCTCCCAGACCAGAGGCTTTCCTTTCTAAAGTTCAAGTGAGTACTCGCAGAAATGGGGTTTGTAGGACCTGTTGTACTAGGTTTTTAAATGTCTCACTTTTTGGGTGGGAATCTTAGTACAGCCAGGAGGGCGTTGGTCTTGCTCAGGGCTGTCTGGGTTCGGTCCCCCCTATACCCCATAGAATTGTCTGAGCGTCGAGAGGAGTGGCCCAAATACCACAAAAGATCACTTGATCACTTGATCCCCCATTATTCATCGATTTACTCGAGCGGGTGCCAGTAGCGTCTCCATTCATCCCTGTTGCGTGCTAGTGTAGCCCAATGGCATCTGTTCGTTCTAGGAACATGCAGAGCCTCAAACCGATCATTCAGGGTCTTGACGAAGGAGTCTGACCATCTTGTAGGTGGGCGTCCACGTGATCTTTTGATGTCCCGTGGAATCCAGTCAGTAATGGCTCTAGTCCAGCGGTCATCTGTAAACCTCATTACGTGTCCAGCCCATCTGATTTTCGACACCTTGGCAAATGAGACAGCGTCCCTGATCCTTGATCGTCGACGGATGTCAGAACTCCGGATTCGTTCTCTCATTTGAGTGAAACGTGATATTCCAAGCATAGCTCTTTCTATTCTTCTTTGGGAGACCTGAATAGCGTTCTCATCTTGTTTGCGTAGGGTCCAGGTCTCTGAGGCATATGTTAATGCAGGAAGAACAGTGGAATCGAAGAGATGTGCTCGTAGCTGGAGGTTCTTTGTCCTCTTAGTTATTTCTTCAACGCTCTTGAAGACATTCCAAGCCGCTCTCTTCCTCCTGCGCAGCACAGGGGCCAGGTCATTCATCATGTTGAATGATAAAAGATAAGAAAAAAGATACGAAAGAAAAAAAAAACAGTGGGCCAGAACAAGAGGAGAGCAGACAGGGCACTTGACTTGTATGCGACCAAGCAGATTGTTCATCAGCACCCCATAGGGTTTCCTGAGTACTGCTGGCTGAGCACCCCAAACTTGTTTTTGGCTGTAATAGGCTTCTCTTCTGCATCATTTTTTGGTTTCCACCCTTTTTGCTACAAACTTGGAGCTGGTCAGGGACTCTGCTCCTCTGTCCTTGTGTCTCTGAATGTAGGGGAGCCGTGTCGTGTGTGTGCGTGTGTGTGTGTTTGTGTGTCCCACCCCACTAAAGCAGGTGTTCAGCCCTCAGAGCTCCTCTCCCTGGGTCTGTCTCGCTACTTGGGGAGCAGACGGGGTGGGATTTGGGTTCCAACCTGGCAACGATTGAGGGCTGCACCCTGCTCTGGGATCACAATACCAGTGGATAGTGTGTACCAGTGAAAGCCCCCGAGCTTCCATGTGACCGGCATCTGCTCCTGCCTGGTGTGCTCTCTCCTGCCCTTCTTCATACCTTCATTGAAAGTAATCAGATGTGAACATTCTGGAATACTATCTTTTTTTTTTTTAAGTTTATTGAATCACTTTATTTAAGTTTATTTAAGTTTATTGAGATAGTTATAAGCTTTCATGTTTGGGTTACAATCACACAATGATCAAACACCCATCCCTCCACCAGGGCACATTCCCCACCACCAATATCCCCGGTATAACCCCCCTTTCCCACCCTCCCTCTGCCTCCATGGCAGACATGATTCCCCATAATCTCTCTCTACCTTTGGGCATTATGGTTTGCAATACAGACCCTGAGAGGTTATTATGTTTGGTCCTTTATCTACTTTCTGCACACATCAGTCATCTTTTTCGTAGTGATTCCTTCTCTGTTCATTCTGGAATACATTCAACAAGAGGCTATCCGAAGGAAAAGAAGGAGTTGGAGTCTCTGAGCAAAATTATACACTTTCATCGTTTAGATTTCTTTTGGGCCAAATATACTTTCTCCCCGATGTTTCTTACACAGGATCACAAAACCGAATGCATAAAATGGCAGTCTGTAAAAACCTCACCTGTGGGGGCCGGAGTGATAGCACAGTGGGTAGGGCGTTGGCCTTGCACGCAGCCGACCAGGGTTCGATCCCCGGCATCCCATATGGTCCCCCAAGCACCGCCAGGAGTAATTTCTGAGTGCAAAGCCGGGAGTAATCCCTGAGCATTGCTGGGTGTGACCCAAAAAGCAAATAAAAACCCTCACCTGTGCATTCTGAGCATTGCAGGGTGTGGCCCTAAACATGAACATACCAAAGAATTGACCCTTGAGATACTTTGCTGGATCTCACACCTCTGCTGTTGGCAATCGACTTCCTCTTTGCCCTTATTGGAGGGGAGGGCAGTGAAGATGTCAAGTCCAGCAGTGCTCAGGGATCATTGCTTAGGGATTCAGGGTGTGGAGTTGAGTCTGCTGCATGCATGACAAGTGCCCTGCCCCCCGGTCTCTTTCTGCCCCTGCAAACTTTCGAAATTGCAGTCTGTGTTTTCGGCTCAGGGTCACACCAAGTGCGACCAGGTGTCAACAGCCTTGTCATAGCCTCTACCAGCTGGGTCTTGTCCCAGCCTCCTTCGGCATGCCAGTCTGTGTCCTTACCACAGGCTTAACAGGATTTATATAGAATTTGAATTTCTGGGGTCAGAGGTAGGCCAGGAGTGCAGGCCTGGAGTTGGAAGCAGCCTGCCACCATATAATTGGTTCATTTTCAGTTGAACCAGCGATGCTAATTACTACTGGCTCTGCTGATTGATCATCCGATGCAAGACATGGGGACCCTTACCATCTGATGGGGATTGAAACTTGGTTGAAGTGCATGCCAGGCAGTCACCCCATGCTGTGTGCTGTCTCTGTGGCCGTCATAAAAAAAAGCATTTATTCTGGGTCAGTTCCAGAAAGTTATGATAGTAGATTTTTTTTTTTTTGAAGTACACAACTCACATTTCTTGAGTGTGTCTTTTTGCTTTGGGATCACAGCCAGCCGTACTCTGGACTTCCTCCTGACTCTACATTCAGGAATCACTCTTGGTGGGCTTTCGGGACCATATGGATGCGGGAGGTCTTCCCTTCCCTGTGTTCTATTGCTTTGACTCTAGGACCTAGTTTTCATCCATTCAGTTACATATGTCTGATTAGATATTATAAAATTTTCAGTTAGAGTGGACCCAAGGGGGGCTGGAGAGATAGCACAGCGGGTAAGGCGTTTGCCTTGCACGCAGCCGACCCAGGTTCGATTCCCAGCATCCCATATGGTCCCCTGAGCACCGCCAGGAGTGATTTCTGAGTGCAGAGCCAGGAGTAACCCCTGTGCATCGCCAGGTGTGACCCAAAAAGCAAAACAAAAAAAAGAGTGGACCCAAGGGCCCTGAGAAACAGGACAGCAGGTCAGCTGCTTGCTTTACCTCCCCCGAGAGCGATGGGTATCCTGGATTACAATGCACTTCTGTGTCCCCCAGAGAGGAAGTAGCATCTGGCACTGTCTCCCTGGGTGGGTCTGTGAGCTGTGCCTCAGGGTGAGGCTGGTCAGGACCTTTACGGCTCCACTGCAGAGACTTCTGGTCAGGGCCATCAGTTTGCTCCTCTCTGGTGCTCATGGCTCTGACTTCTCTTCCAGGTGATTCCACGGAGCGACCTGCTGATCCTCAGGAATTACAGAATCTGACGACAATGGTGACGCGCCATCTGACACACTGTCCCCAGGTGGGAGGAGAGTGATGTGGTGACATGATGCAGTGACAGGCACGCACAGACTTCCAGGGCCTTCTGTCTCTTGTGTTTCAGGAAGGAGCCCTGGAATGTAGTACCTGGCCCGAGTGCTTCGACTCTCTGCTGTTTGAGGCCACTTTGTCCTTGTTTGTTTGTTTCCTGATATTCGGGTTTGACCACACCCACTGGTGCTCTATAAGTACTTTTAATTCAGTGCTCAAGGATTACTCCTGCCAGGTCTTGGGTCCCCAAGTACAGGAGGAGGGCATTTGCCTCTCACCCGGCTGGTCTAAGGGTCAACTTTCATCCCGTGTGGTTCCCTGAGCACTGCCAGTCGTAAGTCCGAAGTGCAGAGTCTGAAGCAACACTTGATAATCCAAAAAGCCAGCCAAAAAGTACACTTTTACATGGTTTGGCAGGGATTAGAGGCAGGCCTGAAACGTGATTTCTGAGTCCTACAAACTGGCGGGCTACCGAATGTAGCCTGCCCACACGGCAGAGTCTGGCAAACTCCCCGTGGCATCCCCAATATGCCAAATACCAGTAACAATGATGGGTCTCATTCTCCTAAAGAGCCTTGAATATAATCTCAGGGCTAGGATGAAGGAGACGTTACTGGGGCCTGCTCGAGGCAATCGACGATTAACAGGATGATTTGTGATTGATTGTGATTGACAGTCACGTACGTCCTCACACGGCTTTGATCCGCTCACTGGAAATCAAGTGTCCCCTGCTCATTCCTAGAACAGAGGATGTGGGGGTGCTGGGTGTGTGTGTGTGTGTGTGTGTGTGTGTGTGTGTGTGTGTGTGTGTGTTTCATGTTTTGGGCCAAACCCAGCTTTGCCTTTTGGGTCCTGCTGGTTCAGTGCCCAGTTGTTACTCTGCAGTGCTCACTGGACCAGTGGTTTGGGATTGGCTTAGGGGTGGCTGTGTGTAAGACCGGCACCTCCAGAAACCTTCTAGTATAGCGTTCTCACATTTTATCAGATCCAACTGCCTTAGAATAATGTCTGGACTGATTTCTCCAGGGTCAGCCAGGAGGGCTCATGAAGAGGCCGATTCTTCCTGACAGAGAGTCCGTTGAGCCCCTTTAGGACGCTGAGGGGTCCCATCCTCATACCCTGGGAATAGGGTCAACATGGGCCCTGACTTCCGCCCCCTTTTGTGTTGGCTCAGGACACAGTTACCTTCCCCGACGTGGCCGTGAGCTTCTCCCCAGAGGAGTGGACGTGCCTGGACGCCTCTCAGAGAAAGCTCTACAGGGACGTGATGCTGGAGACCTACCAGCACCTTCGGGCCGTTGGTGAGAGCAGCATGGGGGCAGGACTTGCCTGTGGGTTCCCCAGGGGCAGTGGTTCTGATGGGCCAGGATTATTGACAGCAATGCTGATAACTGTTTCACATGTTTGTTTCTTTTTTTCTGTTTCTGTTATTTGGCCGTAGTTTGCAATGGTCAGGCTTACTGATGGGATGCAGGGCATCTACCCAGGTCAGTCATGAGCATAGCAAAGTACCCCACGTGCTCTTCTGTCGCTCAGGTTCCTCTAAATAGATCTTTCTATTGCTGAATGAATTTGTTCTTGTTCAACCCTTCACTGGAGTGTTGAACACAGTCCACATTTCTCCTGGCTCTGTGCTGAAGGATCACTCCTGGCAGTGCTCAGGGTTCCGTGGGGGTGCTGTGGACTAAACCGGGTCAGCACCTACAAGGCAAGTGCCTTACCCACCGTTCTGCTGTACCTGGCCTGAAACGTCATTTATTTTATTTATTTATTTATTTATTTTTCAGTTTTAATTTGGTTAGGGACCTACACCCAGCAACCCTTAGGGATTACTCTTGGCTATATATTCAGAAATTTCTCCTGGCGGTGCTCCTGGCTCCTCTGGTTGCCAAGAAACAAATTGGTATGTGTGTGTATCACCAGGTGACTGCCCTGCTGGACTATCACTCTGAGCACAAGTTCATTTCTTTTTTAGGGCATCACCCCATCAATGTGCTGTTGTATTTTAGTGATTGGAAGCGCTTCCAGTGCTTTTTGGGGGCTTTAATATGATTCCATTGCAGACTGAAATTGAAACCTGGGACTTAGGTTGCTTATAACTGCCAATTTGGGGCATATCAGAAGTAGAGTTTCTGTTCAAGCCTTTCCAGGAATTTGCCTGATTTTGTTTGGGACACACGGGGTTGGCTTGTCACTAATACCCTTTCTTGTGGGGACAGGGCTTTCCAGGGTGAAGCCTGCGGTGATCTCCTGGCTGGAAGGAGGAGCCCTGAGGCCAGGGAGGAGAGGCATGTGTGTAGGTGAGTGTCTGAGGACCCTCCCTGGCTCAGATCCTCGGCGATGTGGGGGTGCCCTGAGTTCGTGTGAAACATGTAGGCCCCGGGAGCCTTGAGCTCCTGGAGGCAGGCGTCTGCCATGCTCACGCTGCCCTTCACTTCATGAACTGTCATGGAATGATCCTACGCTTTTCCTTCTTTTCATTGTCATCATTATTTCTTATCTGTCAGGCATGTAGAATATTCATGGGATTCACAGCCCTTGGCCCCCCCGTCTTGCTACACCGGTCCATCGTACAGCCTCCACTGATGGTGTTGCCTTTCAGGAGAAGCTGAATGAATGCCCCTCTACCCTCTTTTTTTTTTTTGCTTTGTTCCTTTGAAGTTGGTTTTTTTTTTTTTAATTTTTTTTTATTAGTGAAACACCATGAGGTACAGTTGTAGACTTACAAGTTGTTGTGCTTGGGTTTCAGTTATACAATGATCGAGTACCCATCCCACCACCAGTGCCCATTCTCCACCCCCACCAATCCCAGTATCCCTCCCACCCCTCCTATCCCCCATCCCACCCTGCCTCTGTGGCAGGGCACTCCCTTTTGTTCTATCTCTCCTTTTGGGTGCTGTGGTCTGCAGAAGAGACACTGGGTGCCAATCATGTTCTGTCTATAGACTACTTTCAGCATGCATCTCCCATCCTGGGCAGATCTTCCCAGCACCCTTTATTTGGTGCTCCCTTCTCTATCTGAGCTGCCTTTGCCCCTAGCATGTGTGGCTGGCCTCCAAGCCATGGAGCAAACCTTCTGGTACTAATCCCGGCCACTCTTGGGTGTTAGTCTCTTATTTTGTTACTTTATGTTATCCAGGTGAATGCAATCTTTCTATGTCTGTCCCTCTCTTTCTGACTCATTTTGCTTAGCATGATATTTTCCATGTAGTACTACCTGTCTGTAAATTTTATGACTTCATTTTTTCTAACTGCTACATAGTACTCCATTGTGTAGATGTACCAAAGTTTCTTTAACCAGTCATCTGTTCTCGGGCACTCAGGTTTTTTCCATATTCTAGCTATTATAAACAGTGCTGCAATGAACAAACAAGTGCAGATGTCACTTCAGCTATACTTTTTTGCTTCTCCGGGGTATATTCCCAGGAGTTCTACCCTCTTTAATGCTTATTTTTCCCCTCAGATCATTAACGTATTTTGTCACTATATTAAGAAATTTTTTTTGTTTTGGTTTTTGGCCCGGGAATTTTCAGTATTTATTGCTGGCAGCTCTCAGAGGTTACTTTTGGTGGTGCTAGGGATCAACCCCAGACAGCTTCAGGCAAAGCAAATGCCCTCTTAGCTGTTCTCTCTAATCCACTAAGAAATCATCACGACGACCATCACGACCATCCTGTTATTCGTCGATTGCCTCGAGCAGGCCCCAGTAATGTCTCCTTCGTCCTAGCCCTGAGATTTTTTAAAAGGTGCCATATTCAAGGCTCTTTCAGGGTTAGGAGAATGAGACCCATCATTGTTACTGGTATTTGGCATATTGGGTACGCCACGGGGAGTTTGCCAGTCTCTGCCATGCGGACAGTTTACATTCGGTAGCCTGCCAGGTTGTCCAAAGCAAGAATGAGATCCACTAAGAAATATCTTTTGCTTTTCTGTTTTCATAGTGAATGCATGAGCCTGGAACAAAGCTGATTTGAGCTGGAGAGGTAGCACAGCAGGGAGGGTAGTTGCCTTGCATGTGGCGGACCCAGATGAATCCCTGGCATCCCATATGGTCCCCACATAGCACCAGGTCTGGTTAAAAAACCAAACCCAAGAAGCTATTTTGTGGATTCTCAAGCTACTCCCAGCATTCCCCACAATGGACCTCATTCAACTACATTCCATTACTACGTTGTGTTTTGTGTTTGATTTCAGAAGTTAAATCACATCTCCAGGAGTTTTCTCTGCAGCAATTTGATTTGGGAGTTGAGTCACTGAATATGAGTGAGTTGGTAAGATTTGCACTTTATATATAAATATTATGTTGGTGGCATAATTCATTGGAACAAGTACGTGACTTGAAAGGTGGAGATGTGGCACTAAAGGAAAGAACTTTGCAGCCTAATGCTGGGAGTAAAAGGTCTGTAGACTCACACGGTGCTAAAATCTGTCATTTTAAAATCTAATGATGGGGGCTGGAGCAGGTAGGGCGTTTGCCTTGCACGCGGCCAACCCGGGTTCGATTCCCAGCATCCCATATGGTCCCCTGAGCATCGCCAGGGGTGATTCCTGAGTGCGGAGCCAAGAGTAACACCTGTGCATCGCCAGGTGTGACCCAAAAAGCAAAAAAATAAAATAAAATAAAATTTAATGATAGAGGACTGGAACTATAGTACAGGGGTAGGGTGTTTGCCTTGCAAGCGGCTGACCCGGGTTTGATCCCCAGCATCCCATATGATCCTCTGTTCATCGCCAGGAGTAATTCCTGAGTGCAGAGCCAGGAGTAACCCCTGTGCATTGCCTAGTATGACCTGTCACTGTCACTGTCCTCCCGTTGTTCATTGATTTGCTCGAGCGGGCCCAGTAACATTGTGAGACTTGTTATAAAAAGCAAAAAATAAAAGTAAAAGAAAATCTAAAGATATTCCTGTTATTGTTATTTTTTTATTATTATTTCTTGCATTTTCATTCACACACAGTGATGCTGATAAGGGTTGGTTTTTTTTTTGGTTTTTTTTTTTTTTTTTTTTTTGCTTTTTTTGGGGGGTCACACCCAGCAATGCTCAGGAGTTACTCCTGGCTCATGCACTCAGGAATTACTCCTGGCAGTGCTTGGGGGACCATATGGGATGCTGGGAATCGAACCCGGGTCGGCTGCGTGCAAGGCAAATGCCCTACCCGCTGTGCTATCACTCCAGTCCCACCTGATAAGTTACTTCTGGCTCTGCACTCAGGAATTACTCCTGGAAGTGCTCAGAGTTCTATGTGGGACGCCAGGGATCAAACTAAGTCCACACCATGCAACGGAAATGCTCTTCCCACTGTCCTAGCATTCCAGCCTCAATTCCTACTATCTTTAATTTCGAAGAAGTACTGTGATTTTTTTCATTGGGACAAAAGTAAGCACGAGTTAATTATTTCAAAGAACTGGTTTGTTGCCACGAGTGATAGTTCAAAATAAATATAAACTGGCGTGCATATGCTGCCCGAGTCCATGTGCTGCTCGCGCCCACGTGGCCGAGCACATGTGGTGCCTGAGCACATATGTCGCCGGTATCTCCCCTCTTGAGATGTGTACTTTCATGCTCTTCTGTCTAATGCTAGGATGTGTGTAGGGGCTCTCTCTCTGCCCTTAGAGAAGCCCGTGTTCTCTCTTGACTACGTTACTCTCACTCTCTCTCCCTCCATACCTAAAAATCCTCCAAATAAAATCTATTTACTTCAAAAAATAATAATAAAATAAATATAGACTGCAAAACAAAAAAAAGGACAAAAAAATTAATTTATCCTAGAGAGGATTCGCTTGTGGTGAGATGTTTTCAGTGAAACTTGTGCTCCATCTTGGATGGGTAGGGTTGCATCCTTGCCTTAACTGATGCATCACAGGTTGCATGCTGTGCTAAAACCAAACCGAGACTCAGATGTGTTTTATTTTGCTTGAACCTACTTCTTTGGTGTCCTGCAGATGACCTTATGTCCATTTTATGTATCTATTCATTGAGTTTTAAAAACAAAAATTAATGATTGCTCATCCTTCAATTCTGTACATCCACCATGTAGAAACATTGGGTCGTTCCAATGAAAAGCCATCCACGTGTCAGGCATGGCATTTCTTGTGGTGGAAATATTAGAAACCAACCTGCAGGCCTCAGTTTCTATTTTGACAGGGAGACTCTTAAGGAATAGAGCAATAATTGGAATCCTCCTTCGCATTCTACAGGGAAACAGCCAGCCCCGGTGGAATGTCTCTGATCCTGCGCTCTGTGACAATGTCTTGAGTGAACAATCCTGCCCTCAGCCCCATGGGGATTCCCAGGCAGATGAGATGTCTTCTGAGGGTGATCAGAATGGAGAGAGTGACCTCACTCTGAAGAAGCCCTTCTCTGGGAAAATCTCACAGTCTGTTGTCCTCAGTTTTTGGAAACAACCCCCACCAAGGATGCAGGCCCAGGACTGTGGGAGAGGAGCACCATTGATAGTGAGTTCCTCACGCCGACAGTCCCACGAGCAAAGTCATCATGGACTGACCCTGTCCAAGAGTAAGGAATGTGGGGGAGCCTTCCGCCCAGGTCCTCGGCACAGAGATGTTCTCTTAGAAACCCCCAGTGGACAGAATCCCCAGGATTATCACCAGGGAGAACACACTTTGCGTGAAGTGTCATCCCAGTTTGACAGTCCAAAGATCCAAACCAGAGAGAAACCGTTTATGTGTGTGGACTCTGGGAAGCCTTTCACTTCCCCCTCAAAATGTATTATACATAGGAGAGTTCAGACTGCAGAGAAACCTCACGCGTGTGAGGAATGTGGAGAGGCCTTTACCCTGTCCTCACAACTTAGTCTCCACAGGGAAATTCATACAGGAATGAAAATTTACTCATGTCCGGACTGTGGGAAAGTCTTCACTTGCTACTCAGACCTTTCTTGTCACAGGAAGAGTCACTCCGGAGAGCAACTGTATTCCTGTCAGGACTGTGAAAAGGTCTTTGCTCATTGCTCAAGCCTTTCCAGGCACAAGAGAAATCAGACTGGAGGGAAATGGTATATCTGTAAGGAATGTGGGAAGGCCTTTGATTATCCATCAAGCCTTTTGTATCACTCGCAAATTCATACTGGAGGCAAGGCTTGTGTACTTCAGGAGTGTGGGAAGGCCTTTAGCACAACCTCAACGCTCACTGTCCATAGAACTCATTCAGGAGAGATGCCTTTTGTGTGTCAGGAGTGTGGTTTGACCTTTACCACATCCTCAATGCTTATTAGACATAGGCGATTTCATACCGGAGAGAAACCTTATAAATGTAAGACATGTGAAAAGGGCTTCACTCAACAGTCAGGCCTGACTGAGCATATGAGAACGCATACCGGAGAGAAGCCTTACGTGTGTCAGGAGTGTGGGAAGGCCTTCAGCTCCTCCTCAGTGCTCACTGTACACAGGAGAACTCATTCAGGACAAAAGCCTTTTGTATGTCAGGAGTGTGGGAAGCCCTTTAGCAGATCGTCAGTACTTACTGTACATAGGAGAATTCACACCGGAGAGAAGCCTTATAAGTGTCAGGCATGTGGAAAGGCCTTCATTAATTTCTCAGCCCTTAAAAATCACATAAATACTCATACTGGAGAGAAGCCTTATGTGTGTCAGGAGTGTGGCAAGTCCTACAGTACGTCCTCAAATCTTAGTGTACACAGAAGAATCCACACTGGAGAGAAACCTTACAAATGTAAGATCTGTGAAAAGGCCTTCACTCATTCCTCAGACCTTAAAAATCATATAATTACTCATACCGGAGAAAAGCCTTATGTTTGTAAGGAATGTGGGAAGGCCTTCACCAAGAACTCAGGCCTCAGTAGGCATATGAAAATACACAGTGTCGAGAACCTTTAGTGTGTAGAGAACGGGAAGGCCTATGTGTTGCCCTCAAGCCTTAGGAAACATAGTAATATTCATACCGGATGACTCCATCCTCTAATAATAATCCCCAAGTTCAGAACTAACCCCCTTCAAAAAATAAAGTTTCTTTGGGCTGGAGCGATAGCACAGCGGGTAGGGCGTTTGCCTTGCACACAGCCAACATGACCGACACAGGTTCAATTCCCAGCGCCTCATATGGTCCTCTGAGCACCACCAAGAGCAATTCCTGAGTGCATGAGGCAGTAGTAACCTCTGAGCATCGCCAGGTGTGACCCAAAAAGCAAAAAGATAAATAAATAAAGTTTTGCTTGGACGAGGTTGATCGGGTGTTGCAAAAGTGCAGTCAAGAAAGACCCCTGGGGGCTGGAGCGATAGCACAGTGGGTAGGGCGTTTGCCTTGCACACAGCCAACATGGCCAACACAGGTTCGATTCCCAGCATCCCATATGGTCCCCCGAGCACCGCCAGGAGTACTTCCTGAGTACATGAGCCAGGAGTAACACCTGAGCATCACCAGGTGTGACCCAAAAAGCAAAAAAAAAAAAAAAAAGAAAGAAACCAAACAAACAAAAAAAAAAAACACACAAGAAAGACCCCTGGTAGCATGTGACAAATTTACAGTGACTTCAGTACTGTGAGGGAAAGGTAGTTGCTGGTGATTACACATCCCTTGGCATGGTAATGATTACCATGATTACCACTCTACATCAGCGTCCCAGCATTTAGACTTGACATGTATGTTATCTTATAAATAATGGGTCTTGGTGATGTAATCCAAGTGGAAATTGATTAAATAAGAACTAAGTAAACAGGGACAAAAACCACCCCTCAATTGGAAATGTCACTGCCTCATTTTTCGCTCACATTCTGGCTTGACTAGGAGGCCTTGGTTTGCGGGATTTATGATAGAGATCAACCAGGATGTTGCAGTGAATCCTTTGGAATGGAAAAAACAGGCCAACCTCCATTCTTTAGGCTTTCTTCTGTTATATTTTGAGTTGCCGTACTTTCTTTGCTCAAACAATACCCTTGTCTCTGAGTTCATCCATACCTGTGAGGGAGGACACATGTATCCTGATGGGGATCTGGACTTGGAATCCAGATCAGTCTTGTGCAGTCAAGAACCTACCTACTGTATCAGCTCTGCACTCCTTGATTCGGATGTTCATTAGAATTACCTAAGCATTGAGGATATTTCTGAAAAGTTTGGGATAATGGCCCTGTCCATGTTCTTTAAAAAGGTGGATTGGAGACAGTTGAAATGGACTTGACTGTGCATAGAAAGATTTCTGATTTTTCTATGAAAGGATGGAACAGGCCCCAGGAGCAAAAAAGTTTTACAAATGGTGGGAACTTGGAGATCGGGCGCGTTCAGGGTGGTATGGCTGTAGACATCTTATTATCTCATTCCTACTTTGGACAAACTGGCAGGCTACCGAATGTAACCTGCCCACATGGCAGAGTCTGGCAAACTCCCCATGGCGTACCCAGTATGCCAAATACCAGTAACAATGAAGGGTCTCATTCTCCTAACCCTGAAAGAGCCTTGAATATGGCACTTTTTAAAAAATCTCAGGGCTAGGACGAAGGAGACGTTACTGGGGCCTGCTCGAGACAATGGACGAACAACAGGAGGACAGACAGTGGGAACTTGAAGAGCGCCCAAACTCCCATCTCAGCAGGGAATAGCATCAGTTGTGATGACGGGACAATAAAGGGTGGTCACATTCCTGGATTCCACCCTCCTCATTTCAGTAATCTTAGGAGAAAAGAAGACAGAACATTTGCATTTGGAAGTGGTATAATCTCAACTCTTAGTAGACACCAGAATGATTAAAACCGTTTTTGGTCTTTATCAAATGACCAAATCTACAAAATGATCCGGTACAATTTATTGCCCAGTTATTAGCTCCATATACGCCTCCCTATTCTTAGGGTTGATCCTGCGTGGGATTTATTTATTAGAGTATATTTGACGTTACTTATCCCTTACTTGGCAGTTCTTAGGAGTTTGTCCTGGCATTGTTCTGGACTTGGGGGAAGTATATTCAGCACAGGTTTCAAGCCACTGTACTACCCCTCTGACTTTGGGTTGAAAACATGTTTCTAAAGCTGAGTCCTGGGGTTTTCTTGTAGGTGAGAGTTCCCTCCTCACGTGTTGTCAAGGGGTAGAGTGTTCACTGTACAGTGCCCTCTGCTGTTCTTCCCAACTTTTGCTCCTGTCCAGTGTCTCTCCAGCTCTCTGGGTTGCTACTAGGCCAGTTCCTCTGCATCTTCAGGGCTGGCTTCAGAGTCACTGCACCCATCTTGATTGATGACTTCCTGGAGAAACTCATTGTCCCATGAGCCATTTCCAACCTACTTGCCTGTTTTACCTTGAATCATCCTGCTTCTGTTTTTATGATGGACGTGTGTGTGAGAGCATTGGTTCCATGTTTGACCAGTACAGGACCAAGGGACTCCGCCTTAACTCGCTGCCCTCAACTCTGTGACCACCAGCCCCTCCAGCACTTACCTCTCCTCTCCTTTATCCGAGCTCATCCCCCTTGCACCGATTCACCTGCGCTGGCATAATGGTCTGTCTGCACTTGGAACCTGGCACTTCAAGGCTCCTTGGTGAAAAGGATGATGTCACAGATGGGAGTCTTCCAGATGCTCTTTTCCTTCCTTAGGATGTCAAGTGGATCAGGCCTCCTATGGGCACACGTGTGAAGTTCAAAGTGATACTTCACCGTGGAAGGGGGACACTGAAAGCCAGTTAGTGGTAGGATGTGAGTGCCTCTTACCTCCAGTCCCTGTACTGTGACCAATAGGGCAGCACCAGCTTCTGGGGCTTTTTCATGGTTTTTCACTTCCCCCCAACCCATATCCAGTTGGTGCCTGGGGTCCAACTTTCTCCTGAGGCTTTATGAGGATGCAGACCTTTGGTGGTTTCATTGGGGGGGATTTAGCACAGCACAGGGGTCTCAGGTGAGAGTGCATGATTCTTGGGGGCATCTTCGCTTTCAGCTCTGCCATGAGGCAGCGTTGCTTGGGTGCGGAGCTGAGCATGGGGGGCTGTAGGTCTTGGGGATGCCGGACCTGCTGATGGCAGAGGTCTTGACCGTCCCAACCCTCCCAACAAGGGGTTGTGCCGGGCCCTGTCCTGCAGCTTTTGGTATAAACATGTATGTAAAGCTGCCAGATCACTTTGAGGGGCAGCTGCTCAGCCCCAGTGTCAAGAGACCCTGTTGAAGCCCGTCTTTTTCTTTTTTTTTTTTTTGGAAGATTTTTCACAGTCAGTTCCTTAGGTGACTTTATTTTTATTTTATTTTATTTTTGCTTCTTGGGTCACACCTGGTGATGCATAGGGGTTCCTCCTGGCTCATACACTCAGGAATCACTCCTGGCAGTCCTCAGGGGACCATATGGGATGCTGGGAATCGAACCCGGGTTGGCCACGTGCAAGGCAAATGCCCTACCTGCTGTGCTATCGCTCCAGCTCCCAAAGCCCGTCTTTTTCATTGGCAGTCACCAGGAGGAACCCTGGGGCTGGTCCTAGCATGTGACTGGGGTTTGTAAGTGAATATTTACTTTTCTGACAGTTTTTGGTTGGTTTTTTTTGGGGGGGTTGGCACACCTGTATTTCCCTAGAAGTTACTTCAGGCTCTACCCTCAGAAATAGTTTCCATGGGACTGGAGAGATAGCACAGCAGGTAGGGCGTTTGCCTTGCATGCGGCCAACCCAGGTTCGATTCCCAGCATCCCATATGGTCCCCTGAGGACCCAAAAAGAAAAAAAAAGTTTCCATCAGTGATCATGGTTTCATATGGGATGCCAAGAATTGATTGTTGTCACTAAGGAAAGCAGCATATTCTCTTAACTGTCTCTCTGACCCACTTTAGTGTCTTTTTCCTGATAAAGAGTTTCTGCTCTCTCAAGTCAAGTTGAAAAGCATTTCTCAATTCTTCATCAGCTCCCTGACCAAGAGACCCCAGGCTGTCGGTGTGACTATTGCATGTAAATGGGTTATTTTTAAAGCAAGTTCGTTTTTTAAATTTCTTTATTTTATAAGGTAGTTCACTATATTTGATTACATTTAATATTCAAGCACCAATTCGAGGTAGTTGGGTGTTTTGGGGAGGAGGAGATATTTGTTTAGAGATCACTCCTGCTGTGTTGAAAAGAAATTTATTTAGAAAGGGCTGGAGTGATAGTATAGTGTGGAGGGCTCTTACCTTGCACAAGGCTAACCCAGGTTCAATTCCCAGAATTCCAAACAGTCCCCCAAGCCACAACAAAAGTGATCCCTGAGTGCCAAGTTCAAATAAGCCCTGAGCCAGAATTGAAACACATTCACACAAAGACACACACACACACACACACACGTGATAATTTTGTGAGCAGAATGAGGCCAAAAGCTTGTTCATGCTGAGTACCTGTGGCTGCCTTGAAGCTCAGGGGTGTTTAAAGAAGCTCCTGGTCGGGGCTGGAGTGATAGCACAGTGGGTAGGGCGTTTGCCTTGCATGCGGCCAACCCGGGTTCGATTCCCAGCATCCCATATGGTCCCCTGAGCACCGCCAGGAGTGATTCCTGAGTGCAGAGCCAGGAGTAACTCCTGAGCATCGCTAGGTGTGACACAAAAAGCAAAAAAAAAAAAAAAAGCTCCTGGCCTAGGAAGCAGCCGCTGGCTGAGCCCATAAAGACCTTCCTTGGGGCCCAGGGAGGAGTCCCGGATCTTAGGGCTGCAGTATCCTCCCCTGTACACTGAATCCATCACTCCTTTTCTGACAGCCCGAATTCCAGCCTTCTGTGCATTTCCGGGAGAGAAAGGAGCACCTGGCCATGTGGCCCCCAGGTGTGACTGTGTCCTGATGTGAGAGGCTGCCTGCCACCAGGACATTTCTGGGTCCAAGGCAGGGACTTCCCAGGTCAGGGCTAGAGGTGTGTCCTCTCTCTGCTCACAGCTCTGATTTCTCCTCCAAGTCTTGGTTTTGGAATCTGATGCTTACCCTTGGGAATAACAGGCCGGATGAGACGGTGCTGAGGCTTGGTCCTGAAGGTGGTTTGCATGGAATCTTTGTGAATTTTATTCTTTTCATGAAAACATAACAACTTTCTGCTGCATATGCCATCTGTTCAGTCCCTCACTCTCCACTTATCCTGGATGTGGTGACCCCCAGATGTCCTGGACACCTGATTGAAGGCAAGAAACAGAAAAAAAAAAATTTACATTCCTTACCATAAAAAGTAAGTAGCAAACACAGTAACAACAAGTCTCATAATGGAGACATTACTGGGCCCCCTCGAGCAAATCGATGAACAATGAGAGTACAGTGGTAGTGATACCATAAAAAGTTATGTGGTCAGGGGGCTGGAGAGATAGCACAGAGGGTAGGGCGTTTGCCTTGCACGTGGTCGACCCGGGTTCAATCCCCGGCATCCTCAAGCACCGCCAGGATTAATTCCTGAGTGCAGAGCCAGGAGTAACTCCTGTGCATCGCTGGGTGTAACCCAAAAAGAAAAAAAAAAAAAGTACGTGGTCCAGAATACTTGGAGCCCGGCACTTTATTTTATTTTTATTTATTTTTTTTGCTTTGGTTGATTTTATTTATTTTTTTTAATTTATTAATTTATTGAATCACTGTGGGAAAAGTTGCAAAGCTTTCAGGTGTAAGTCTCGGTCATGCAATCATCAAACACATTTCGTTTCACCAGTACTTATTTTTCACCAAGAAGAACCCTAATACACCTCCCTGCCATGGAGCCTGGCACTTTAAGGCTCTGACTGCAGATGCAGGTGACGTCAGGGAACCCAGGTCCCGCCCTCCACCCCTGGGAGCTCAGCTTTCTGGGTGGAAGTTCCAGTCAGTTGCCCTCGGTGCCAGCTGCCTGCTGCCTGCGGAGGTGAGGAACGGGGAAGGAGAGCAGGTATTGGGGGGCCCAGAGGGACAGGGCATTTCCCAAAGGGCATTTTGCATTGATGACCACAGAGTGGTAACTGAGCACCCTGAACCTCAGTGGTCTCCGCCCTTGAGCAGCAGGGGGTCGCTCCGTGAAAGGCTGGTGGTGGCAGCCCCTCACCTGGGGACACACGGAGAGCTCCTGCCAAAAGGTTTATCTTATTTATTAATTGATTTTTTAGGAAACAACGGAGATTTTTCTGAAGATGCGTAAGGGATGATGCTAGTCTCTTTGGGAGGGCGCTGGCCTTGCACACAGCTGACCCGGGATTGATCCCCACGACTACACAGGGTCCCCCGAGCACTGCCAGGAGTGATCACCCCAGAAAATGTGATCACCTCACTTTTTTCTTCTAGAAAAGAAAGTGGTCAGAAGAAGCACGGGGTTGGGGAAGAAAACGAGCTTGGACAGTAAAGATCGCTGGGAAAGTTTCAGAAACAACAAAAATAATGGCACAAACAAGAGAAAGTAATTTCTTTTAAAATTACTGTTATGGGGCTGGAGTGATAGCACAGCGGGTAGGGCGTTTGCCTTGCACACGGTCGACCCGGGTTCGATTCCCAGCATCCCATATGGTCCCCTGAGCACCGCCAGGAGTAACTCCTGAGTGCAGAGCCAGGAGTAACCCCTGTGCATTGCTGGGTGTGACCCAAAAAAGGCAAAAAAATAAAATAAAAATAAATTAAAATTAAAATTAAAAAAATAAAATTACTGCTATATGTGTTTTAGGGTCACACCCATTGGTGCTCAGGGCTAACTCCTGGCTCAGTGCTCAGGGATCCCTCCTCGGGGGTCTTCCGGACCCCATGGGGTGTCGGGATGCTAGGCCAGCGCCCTCTGTGCTCACCTATCACTCAGGCTCAGAACCGAAGAGAAAGTGTCAGTCAGAGGGAGTCTTAGTTTCCCCGAGATGTAATGGGGCGTATGCGGCTGCCTTAGGCCTGTGTTAGCTCCTTTGCAAGGATGGTCACGGGTGGGGCCAGGGGATCATGTGGGGAATGTCCCTAGGCCAGCCTGTTAGACTTAATCCAGAGTAGGGCTAAAGGGTCACACATACCCTTATCCAAGGTGTGAGAGGCGTTTTTTTCTTTTTTTTTTTTCTTTTTGGGTCACACCTGACGATGCACAGGGGTTACTCCTGGCTCTGCACTCAGGAGTTACTCCTGGCGGTGCTCAGGGGACCATGTGGGATGCTG